CTCTGATGCTGCTTGGCCTGCTGTGTTCATCCAGCTCTACACCTTGTTATCTCAGATCTGACAGCATTTCTGAAGAGAAATCAGAGTTAATGTTTTGGGACCGGTGACCCTTTGTGTTGTGAGGGAGGGTCCCTGGACCCCAAATGTTAACCTCTGATTTCTCTTCAGAAATGCTGCCAGACCTGCTCAGCTTTTCCAGCAATTTCTGTTTTTGTTTCTGAGTAACCTCATAGATTTGAGTGACGATATGACTTTGTTCATTTTCTCATTGACATTTCTGAATATTTATTTTTGGACAATAAATCTCAGATCGTAAAATTTTAATTTTATCCTCACCCTTTTAATCCAAGAGGTAGGAAAACAACCTGTGCTGCTGTTGAGAGTTGTGCAATATGGTATTTCATGACATGCATTTCCCAGGTGGTAAAACCTCCTTCCTAATCGACTAGCTTCATCTTAGAAACTTGTCACTTGGGGAATCGGTGCTTTATCTAACCACTTGCTGTGAGTTTGATAGTGTATCAAAGCATGGAATCACAAAACACTAAGTGTTCGGAAATACCAGTTTTTGGAACTAACCAGATGGAGTGCAGTTACTTTTCTTGTTTCACGACTTACTATGTTTAAGAACATACACTATGTTTTTGTTCAGAATTTCAGTACATTCATAAACTGCCCTGGATAATTTAATCACTTGTTATTTCCTTATTTAGTGACTAATTTTCTACAGAAATTGTGTTTTGGTCAATGGAAACAACGTAGTGCAAGAGTTTAAGCAGTTCCTCAACCCACAGGCCAGGTTTATTAGTTTAGCCATGTCAATGAGGAGTGGCATTACTCAGAAGGAAAAGTAAACAATCTAGGTTTTTTTTGTGCAATCTCTGGATTTTGTTTGTAGGAAGGCATGGAGAGCAGAAAAGGTGAGAAAATGTAAGGACTTCATATTTGATTCAATGAATAAATAATTAAATTCCTTTGGAAGATGTTGGAAGACTGACTGGGGTAACATTTAGTTTTAGTTCAATGTGGATTTAACTGTTACTGCATAGAATCTGTTAGAACTGATTGAAGCTGGTGGAGAAGTAAATCATCAATTAACCCAAGAGTTCATCTTCTGTTGGACTGTTACGTATGTATGATATGCCTACAGTTACTGTTTTTGTTCAACTCTTAAGTTACAAGCACAATAGACATTTGAAGAGTGGAAGAGGGATAGAAACACCTGGAATGATAGAAACCCTACAGTATGGTAGCTGGTCAATTGGCCACACCAGCCCTCTGAAGGGCACCTCCCCCCACTCCCACTCCCCATCCATCCCAGTTACCCTGTGTTTCCCATGGCTAACCCACTTAGCTTGCAATCCCTGGATACGACAGACAATTTAGCATGGCCAGTCCACCTAACCTGCACATCTTCGGTCTTTGGGAGAAAACTGAAGCACCCGGAGGAAACCCACGCAGAGACCGAGTATGTGTGGAGTTTGCACACAGTTACAAACTGTAAACCAGTGTCCCTGGTGTTGTGAAGCAGTAGTGCTAACCACTGAGCCACTGTGTCGTGGGGGCTTTTTCTTGACAAAATGTTACCTTTCTGCCAGTTTTCTCCCAATTTTGAAGATATCGATTCTTTTCTGGAGCATGGTATCTTGCTCAAGTGTAACTGCTTGATATGTGATTTGGGATTGTAAGTACTGGCAGGTGGTTTAACTGGTCGGTCTGCTTGATCTTCTTCCTTGATGTCCACATATTCACTTCTGCCGTCGATCCTGGATACTGATCAGGAATGGAGTCTTGATCGTTACAAAATTGTAGTTGCTTTCCTTAATGCAAGGCACTGTGATTAATTATTAGTCCAACCAGCCCAACTAAGATTGATTAATTCAGCAAAAACCAGGAGCTGAATCTGGGACATTGTTGTTTCTTATATAACATGTCTCCTCAATGCAACATTGTCCTAGTATTGTCATTAGAGTTAGATGGTCGGTCTTGCTATATTTTTTATAAGGCCTGCTTTTGTATTGTATACTCTGTTCTCTTCTCCAGTTTGAGCAACAGTTTTGAACATTGGTGTACATATGGTAAAATAGCAATTCACAGAAAAAACCCAAACTGAAAGAACTGTGGATGCTGTAAATCAGGAATAAAAACAGAAGTTGCTGGAAAAGTGCAACAGGCCTGGCAGCAACTATGAAGACAAAAAATAGGAGTTAACGTTTCAGGTCCACTCCCCCTTCCTCAGAACTCTGGCAGCGTCTGTGAAGATCAGTTCTGAGGAAGGGTCACCGGACCTGAAACATTAACTCCCAATTTTTCTTCACAGAAAAAGTCAGTCTTGTGCAAAGTGTAGTTAATTTTAAAGTTGAAGGGTTTGCTTTGTTTGGAGCAATAAATTGGTTGGCACAAAATTCCAATTATCCAATGCAGGATTTTGGTTCAGATTCTTGGTGTGGCGTGTTTCCTATAGCAGATATTTTTTAAAAGGGTTGTTGTCTTTTCCCTACAAAGGCTGCCCACAGTATTTTGCAAAGCTTGTGCAACTGCCTTAACTGTAAAAATTGGTTGAGACCAAAAGTAAATCTGGCCCCTCAGGAGGGAGCTTGGAATGGAATCACTTTGGATTGAGGCAGGCTTTGGCTTATGAAATTACTAATGTGCTAATTGACCTTAGAAACTGAGTTAAAGAGCATTACCTCACAACAGAACATGAAGGGCTCTCAGTGCAGTCCCTGCCTGTGAGCCAGGAGGCTCAGGTTAAAGTTCCATCTGCTCAAGAGATATGTAATGACATCGCTGAACAAATTGATTGGAAAATATCTCACTATGATGTGACTGTTTACTGATAGATACCTCGGTAGCCTCAATAGAATATGCTAGTCTGTAGGGAGCAGTTGGAGGGCGGATCAGCAGCCCAGCGAGTATAAAACTAACTGAGCTTGGGGCACATTGTAGCCACAAAAAAATACTGGAGTGACATCACAGCTGTGACCTGATTGGCTGGTAGGAAATCAGCATCAAATTTGAAAAAGAACATGAGTTTTAACAAGTTAATTAACTAATTCCTTTATTAATTTATATAAATTTATTAATAAATGAAGAGGAGACAGCTGGGCAGGTGGTGTGCTGTAGCTGTATGATGTGGGAGCTGGCAGTTCCCATTATGAGCTGCAGTGACCATATCTGCTGCAAGTGTTGGTTGCTTGGGGAACTTTGGCTTGGAGTTGATGAGCTAGAATCTGAGCTTCAGACGCTGCGGCACATCTGGCAGGGGGTGAAGTACCTGGACGTGTTGTTTCAGGAGGTGGTCACACCTGGTAGATTAAGTACTTCAAATTCAGTCAGTGATCAGGGACAGCAGGGTGTGATTGCAGGTGAGGCAAGTCGGGGGAATCTTGAATTCAGGAGCGGAGGAGCCTCTGCTCCTGACCTTGTCCACCAGGTATGAGATACTTCCGCCCTGTGAGGATGAGGAAAAGAGCTGTAGAATGAGCCAGCTGTCCACTGCACTGTGGTACAGGAGGCCATTCAAGAGGGGGAAGCAAAAAGACAAGTGATAGTTGTAGGGGACTCTATAATTAGAGGGATCAATAGCATCCTTTGTAAGTAGGATTGAGTGTCCTGGTGCCAGGGTGAGGGACAACTCTGACCAGTTTGAAAGGATATTGGAGCAGGAGAGTGAGGATCCAGTTGTCGTCCATGTTGGGACAAACAATCTAGGCAAGGCCAGGAAAGAGGACCTGTGTGGGAATTATCAAGCATGAGAAATGAAATTTAGGGACAGGTCCTCCAGGGTTATAAACTCTGGAATACTAACCAAGCCACGTGTAAATTGGTTTAGGGATAAGAAAATTAGGGAAGTAAACACATGGCTAAAGAAGTGGTGTGGAAAAGAGGGGTTCCATCTCATGGGGCATTGGCATCTGTTTTGGAACAG